CACCTTTACTTAGCCACAAATCATACCATATTTAATACCATTGAACCACAACCACCACCACCACCACCACCACACTAATAACTATAAATCCACCAAAACCACCACTCAAACTACTATTACACCACACATCAACTAACTATACTTAACCTAACCACCAAATATATCATATATAAAAAAAATAAAAAACCATACACAACAACAACAACAAATTATTATAAAATAATAATATAAATTATGTTATTTATTTACTATAACATTATATGTATCATTTAATAATAATAATGGCATATTATTATGATAATGAAAGTATATACAGATAAATTTTAGAATATCCACATTAGTTTAACAGATAATATGTATCATAAATATAATATCATATTGTATTTAATTATTAAATTAATTAATTATTATTATTATACATGATATATTAATATATAATAAATCCCAAATATATGTATTAATTATTTAATTTGAATGAAATTAATATTGGCTATAAGCAAAGTGCAGGAATTATTTCTGAATATCAAGTCCATTTGCTCTCGTTATCTCCGAAAGAATTCTCCCTTATTTGCTACTCTCTCAGACTGATTCCATATCACTATATCTCTTATATACCCATTGTAACTTCCTCCTCAAGTCCTAACCCTGCCTCCATCTCACTCAATATCCTCCCATCATACCATATCCTTCCTCTGCGATCTCAACCAATGTCCTCATACATACTAGCTCATCTCACATGTAACCCCCTCCTTACAACACATGTCCTAAACCACTTATCCACGTCCTCATACCAGAAAACAATCAACAGATCCTCTCTCTATACCAACGTCCTCCTACATTAACGCTACACATACACATTCCACTTATACAGAGTCCATTCTTCCTCCTCTCATAACCTGCTATCTCACCATCCATGTCTCTCACCTATCCATACCTCCACATCACCACATAACCACCTCCTCGCTTCATCCACCCTCAATTCCATATCCTCCCTCCCTCTTACTCACCCATTACCATTCACAGCATTCGTCCATTACATAATCAAAAAGATACACTCCTATCCAATTCTATCCTCTTACTCCCATCCCTATACAAACCATACTTCATTATTAACTCGTCCTCTAATACATTACCATTCTACGGAACCTTACACAATCACGACTACCAAACTTTCATAAACCCAATTTTTCTATTGCTCTCAAATTATTCGCACAGACCTATGTCAATTAACAGTCTAATCACCGTCTTCTCGCCACTCAATCATCACTTCGATTACTTCGTCTATGCTTATAATTACCTACTTCGATCGCATCCTCCATCCTTCGATATTACTGTACGCTCCACATCACACACCTTTATCAGAATTATGCTAACTCCACAGTCGCAGGTGCGGTGAAAACATTCAACCAACCTCCGACCCCTCATTCTTCGCACGACTCACTTTCACTCTCCTCCTCTATCGCTTCTTACTTCGACTCTTTCGGCGGCACATCTAGCATCTACATAGTGTACATTACTTTCCTCCTCCTGCCCTAACAATCTCCTCATCATTATAACGTACTCGTAACTCTTCCTCCTCCTCAACTACGAAGTACCATCAAACTCAACATACACAAAACATCCATAAGAAAAACATATTTGTCAATTAATGACAGGAACTATACACGTCCTGAACTCTAGTCACACCCTCATACTCCTCATGCATACAATCACTACTCTATCTTCTTCTCTCTCGTTAAACACCTCACTTCATTACTTCCATTTAACACACACCTCACCTCCTCAACACCTCACACATCACGCCACAACACACACAGTCCTCGTCCTCCAACCTCCTCACCACTACAGCCCCCACATCCACACCACTACTCTCTCCCTTGCACTCACCACTAACATCCTCCTGGGCATTCCCATGCTCCACTCCTCCTCCAAGATGTTCCCTCCTCCTCCACCTCCTCCTCCTCCATCGTCCTCCTCCTCCACCATCTCCTCCTCCAATGTCCTCCCCCTCCTCACCACTCAGCACCCACATCACATCACCATCACACCCCACACTCTTCACCCACCACCCCATGGTCCTACACTACACCACACCACACCTCCTCCCCTCCCATAGCTCATACACCACACACACGCCACACTCTATCGCACGTCACCTCACAATTCCTCCCCCACACACGTCTACCTCTTCCATGTCCTCCTCTTCTCCTCCCATGCTTCTACCTCCTCCTCCTACTCTCCTCCCTCCCCTTTCATCCTCCCTCCCACACATCTCTCTACCTTCACCATCATCTCCAACACCCCCACATCCACTCACCACTTCCTCACCTTCCCTAACTTCCTCTTCCTCCTCTTCCCCCCCCTCACTTCTCCCCTTCCCTCTCCTCTTAACACTTACACACCTTATCATCCCATACCTATCACAGACACCAACACACACACACACTACTACACCCACCCTCACACTCACACTCTTCCTCCCCCTCACCACCACCACTACACCATCCTTCTCCTCTCCTTCGCCCCTCCATCCCCCCCCTCCTCCTCCCCCTCATTATTACCACTTTCACTACCCCCTCTTCTCTTCCTCCCTCCTCCTCCCTTCCTCTCCCTCTCCTCCCCTTCTCTCTCCACCTTCCCCCCCTCCCTCCCTCCTCTCCTTCCCCCTCTCCTCTTCCTCTCTCCTTCCCTCTCCTCCTCTCCCTTCCTCTCCTCTTCTCCCCCTCTCCCCCTATCCTCCCCTGTCTATCCCTCTCCCACTCTCCCCACCTCCCACCCCACCTCCCCCTCCCTTCTCCCGCTCTCTCCCCTCTCCTCTTCTCTCCTCTCTCCTCTCTCCTCTCTCCTCTCTCCTCTCTCCCCCTCTCTCCCTCCTCTCCCCCTTCTTTGTCCTACTACTCTCTCCTTCCTCCCTTATCTACTTAGTTCCTCACCCCTGCACACAGCCATTTATTGGGTTTCTCCATTCCCTAAAGTGTTTCCTGCCTTCATCTTTGTGTATTCTTCATAACTGTCACTTCATATTTTTAACAAGTTGTGGTTGGCCATGTCAAAAGGGGCCTTGAGTTTCTTTATAATGAATGTGATGTTGAATTTAATTTGGATTTATCTTGCATTATTTCACTAGGTGTTGGATAATACTTAGAAATTGAAGTTAATATAGAGATGTAATTATATTCTGATATGCATTTCTTATGTTATCTTTTTTTTTTTTTTTTTCTACTTCACAGCAATCCTACACGGATGTAACCCTAGCTTGCGATGGCAAGTTTTACAGTGTGCACAAGTTGGTGCTTTCCACATGTAGTGACTATTTCTGTGCCATGTTTGAGAAGACTGCTTGTAAAAGCCCTGTTATAGTGTTAAAAGATATTAAGTGTGAGGACCTTGAGGCCTTGCTAGACTATATGTACCTTGGTGAAGTGAATGTAAGGCAAAGTGACTTAGCGTCTTTGATAAAGGCTGCCGAAAATTTACGCATCAAGGGTCTCGCAGTACCTGATGATGAACCCCCTAAAAGAGTTACAGCCCCCACCAGAACTGACTCCAGTAGGAGAGAAGGGGGTAGTGGTAGTCCTCCCTCCAAGAGGAAAAGAAGAGACGAAGGTGAAGATGGCAGGGAAGACGTGAGACCGCAGGTCGGTGGCTTACATACTCCCCCTCCTCCCACAAGACCAAAGAGCCCCAACACTCAGCGACAGAGCCCCTCCTCCCACAGAACGCCTCAGGAGCAACACATAGCAGAAGATCATGATAGCCGTCCCCTCTCGTCACCTGCGGAGTCTCCTGCAGCCACCCACACATCTGGTCATCAACCGTCACATCAGCCCTCACAATCACAACAATTACCACACCAGTCATCTCATCAAGTCTCTCTTCAGCCCTCTCAACAATTAAGTGAGCAACCAACCCAACAACCAGTCAGTAATCAATATAGAGGCGACGAATCACAAACGTTCGTCAAGGTTGAAATGGAGGAAACGGACGACACTGGGGACATGAACCAAGACTCGTATAATATGAGTGGTGATGGCTACAAAGAAGAAGATAGTGGAGGAGACTTGGGTGGAGATCTCAGCAATGACCTGCCAGAGTTCCTACAGCAAGCGGCGTCGGGGGCTCTGGCTGGTACCTCTGCCTCATACCCTCACACATTTGCCGGACCCTCTGGCTTCCAACCGGTGAGTCCGTCTCCAATCACTTTTTGGCATTCGTGGTGTTCATTGTTTAGCATTGATATTTGATGTTATGATTGTTAATGATAGTAGAACAATTATTATTATGATTGAAATGATTTTTGTTGTATTACCATAATTATTATAGTTGCTTTTATTATTGTTGGCAATCATTATTATTATTTATGATTATTATCAGTAGTATTAATTTTTTTCCATTATTTTTTTCTCTGAGATAATCTTTTGGATAGTAATTGGTATATTTTATAAATTAGCATAATTTTGAAGTTGTATGTGCTTATTCTTATTTATTTATTTGTAGCATTTTTTGATTGTAAGAATTAATCCATCTTTTACCTGCTGTGCACAGGAGGTGTCGGGTTGGCAAGGTGATGGACAATCCTTGCCTGGAAGCTTTGGAGGTTTGGGATTCCCTCCCCATTCCTCTCAGGACAATCAACCAGGGGTGAGTGTTACTGCGTGTTGTTTACCATGTGGAGCATCACCAGCCATGTCAAACTGTTGCAGACTGGGTCTCTTCCTTGCAGTTGATTTTGCAGATAGTTTTGTTTATGTACACAGAATTTGGTTATTTACTTATTCATGTTTTACTGTTTTGCCTTTCTTTCTTTCTTTCTTTCTTTCTTTCTTTACTTTTCAGCCCCTTAGGTGAAAGTAGGTGGCAGGTTTGCCTTTTTGCGGGTGATACTTCTCTTACTTTAAATGTTCACACAGTTTTGCTTTCTTTGGTGCCTAATCAAAATTTGTATATTCATTCTTTTTAGTAAAGAAATGGAGAAATGATTTGAAGATTGGTGACTTTCAAAATAGGCTTTGCATCTCTTAATTATGTTGGGATGTGATTTTTACAAAATCATTTCAGGACTCAGACTTTGACGGCTTGCACACAATCTGATCTTCAACAAGAATTGTAATGTTGTTAAGTTTTGCTGCGGCTTCCATGCTCTGTACACACTGGCAAAGGCCAGCAAACCTCTACAATATATATCATTGAAAGATGTAGCTGGATTTAGTTCTCTGTTTGGTGGTAAATAAGCAGGGAGGTTTACAGGTTCTTTTTTCACGAATATATGGGGTGGAGGTTTGTTGTCCTTTGCTAAGGTACCAAAACGCTCAGAGGAAATTAGATGTCTTTTAATGATTTACCATTTTTATTTTATTATTGCAGTACAGCTAGATTGTCATTTGAGATATTTTTATTTTAGTTGATTTGACAATATTGGTCAGTTCATACAGTATATTTGACTGTTAGATTTGGATATATACTATTTCAGTAAAGTTAAAATAATGTTATCATTCAGAATGAGAAAGATCGGCAAATTGAAGGTTTTGTAACCAATCTCTTAAGAAAAATGCAAACCTGCCATTATTAACTTTTTAGGAGACGGCCATTTATACAATTACGATTATGTTCCTTTGTAGAATACCTTCTAGCTTCACGTATATTGTTGTACAGACATCAGTGGATGAAGATGACATTACCTAAGACTCAAACTACAGAGATGACTCGCCTGCAAAGTCAACTTTAGACGAGATCCAATTTCCTGTTTGGACAGACATATTAGCATTAATTATGCTCTCACTTACACACATCTTGCTACCTAATAGTGTGCCTTAGTTTCTTGCATTTAGTCAGACATTTGATTTTATAGGCATACCTGTATAGTAAAGATTATTTTGTCATTTCTCTCTCTCTCTCTATTTTTCTTGTTAACATCCATGACTTTATTTTCCTTTGAAAATACTTTACCTGGCACAGTTTCAAATTGCTCAAGTTTTCTTAACCTTTTTACCAAGTGCCCTGCCCTGTTTTCCATGAACATACACTAAAAACTTAAAAGTTGGTCCCCACCACCTTCTCACAGCCATACTGCTCCCTGTCAGAAAAAAAGGTTCATATATTGTACTTTTCTTATTTCATTGCTTTTGTTTAACCACTTTATTAACAGTGTAGTCTGTCTTGCTATTTACTCATTAACCCGTTGGATCCGGTTCCGTTATACAAATCATGGTGCCGAAAACATCGGCAGTGGGTTATGTAAGTAGCCAACATCCTGGGTGTGTGGTATGTAGGCCGTACATGCACAAACACCAATGAGTGGTGACAAGACCTGCCTCCCCTTTGTAAAGTTAATTTGTGCAAACTTTTTTAGCTTTATGATACAACTTGGAACACCAGTCACAGTGGCCAGGCATATAGTGAGCAGCATGTAAATGGTGGTCTCCCTGGAGCCAGCACTCTTCCAGTCATTGCTTAGGCACGTTACATTCCACATTTGTTTATCGATGGCAATAATGCTAAAGCCCCCTTCCAAGTGCCTAATGAGTCCAATCACACCCCAAGAGGTTTATACACTCATGGTGAGTCTTTTCTGTCACCCTGGCCTTTGCTCATGACGGCAAGTTTGTGTCACCCAGTCCGTGGCCCATTTTGCCCTATGACGGCAAGTTTGTGTCACCCAGTCCGTGGCCCATTTTTATGACGGCAAGTTCGTGTCACTCCGTGGCCCATTTTGCACTATGATGGCAAGTTCGTGTCACCCAGTCCGTGGCCTATTTTGCCCTATGAAGGCAAGTTCGTGTCACCTGGTCCATGGTCCATTTTGCCCTATGACAGCAAGTTCGAGTTACCTGGTCCATGGTCCATTTTGCCTTATGACGGCAAGTTCACATCACCCGATTTGTGGTCCATTTTGGCCCATGACGGCAAGTTTGCATCACCCGATCCATGGTCCATTTTGCCCTATGATGGCAAGTTAGTGTCACCTATTCTCTGACGGCATTTTCACCGCATTTTGTGGTCCATTTGCCCCATGACGGCAAGTTGCATCACCCGATCCATGGTCCATTTTTGCCTATGATGGCAAGTTTGTGTCACCTATTCCATGGTCCAATTTGCCATATGACGGCAAGTTTGCGTCACCCGGTCCATGGCCCAATTTACCCTATGATGGCAAGTTCATATCACCTGCCCCTTGCCTCAAAATTTTTCATGACGGAACCACGTCTTTCGGGTCCAAGGGGTTAATGTTAACTAACTAGTCTCATGGATCTCTGTTACCTTCCACTCTTCCTACCTCTTATGTGCTATAACTCTGCCAATTCTCCATAAAATGCTAACATGTGTTTCTCTCTCTCTCTCTCTCCTCTCTCTCGTGCTCTCTCTCTCCTCTCTTCTCTCTCTCTCTCTCTCTCTCTCCTCTCCTCCTCCCTCCTCCTCCTCTCGGCCTCCTCTCCTCTCTCTCTCCTCTCTCTCTTCTCTCTGCCCCTCCTTTCTCTCCTCCTCTCTCTCTCTCTTTCTCAC